AATATGTTTACGTATGATATTTATCTATAAGAATAATACATTTTAATTATAATACATTTGTTATATATATATAATAGTATATTGTAATACGCTTATTATATATATATAGGTATATATATCTATATATCTACATATATTACATTGTAATAATAAATTTATTATATGTAAAGATACATTATAATAATCATAAGCTCTTATATAGATAATAAATGCATTGCTGTAATGTATTATTATTTTCTTGATAGGTTCGCTGTACATACGCACGTCTGCTGACAGTTTTCTTGTTGTTGCTTCAATTCAATTTAATTAATTTAATTTATTTTAATTAATTTGATTTAATTAATTTCATTTAATTTTATTTAAATAATTTAATTTAATTTAATTAATTTAGTTTAATGATATATATTTCTTAAGGCCCCCCTTGCTCCTCGCCTTGCCTGTGCATCAGCAACTGGGGGGCTCTTTCTTTTTCTTTGGCTTTTTAATTTCTTTTTTTGTTTGAAAAAAGAAATAAAAATGCGTGCATTAATTAATTAATAATTTTAAATATTAATTTAAATCAAAATAAATACATTTCAGTGTAAGAACGAAGAAAAAAGTGAGTAAAACGCAGAGTGATGGGGCGGCGTTGACTCTGCGGTCTCGAGGTTGTTTCGACGCTGAAAAAAAGCAGATATAAATAAAATTTTTTGCTTTTTCATTTTAAATCAATAAAATATCAAAATTAAATTAATTTTAAATATAATTCAAAGAAAAACAAACAAAATAACAACAAAATATTCATCGAGCGGTCTGGGCAGCGGCAGCGGGTCGCAGAGATGATAGCGAGACGGCTGCAGGAGAAAATGCGGTAAAAATATATTTGTTTATTGAATTTAAATATATTTATTGATGAAATTAAATTAAATAAATATAATTAAACAAATATTTCATTTAAATTTTGTTTGTTTCTTCCGTTTACAGCCATTACAATTACTAGCTGCAAGGCAGTAGCGGCGTACAGGCGGGGGGTTGGTCTGTATAAGAGCATACAGCAGTCTGAGTGCATGAAAAAGAGGCGCTAAATAAATAAATAATTATTTTAATTGAATTAATTAATTAAATTAAAATAAATAAATATATTTTTCTCTGTTTTTCATCGTCCAGAGCCGTGTTAGGGGGCTGCGACGCTGTGCAGCGCGGCCTTGTAATGGTTTGGTGTATGTAAGGGCTTGCTTGCAGCAGATATAAAAATGTAAATAATAAGATATTTATAGCATTATATTTATTTAATTTGTTTATTATTGTTTATTTTTACTTAATTAGGAGTGGTTTGAGGCTAGACGATGCCACAATATTTGCTTTTTCTTGTTTATCTTCTTCTATAGCAATGCAGACAACAAAACTAATTGTGCGTTTGTTTCTTACGGGGTTGTCTTTGCTTGCTATTGCATCTGTATCAGCAGGTTTAGTATATTACTTTGTTCAGAAACGAGAGAGAGCTGCTGCTGCTGCTGCTGCTGCTGCTAAAGGCGCTTACTTTGCTGCAGCAGGAGATGCATGTACTGCCTTACCGCATCTATCAACAAACATTAACAGAAAAAGATGCTCTCCCCCCCTCATTTGCAGTGTACAGACACCACAAGATGAAGAGGGTATTTATAGCATCTAAATCCTCCGTCTATTTACTTTTTCTTTATTTATTTTTTAACCCTATTTAATTCCTCTGTCTATCCCCTTCGCCTCTCTATACTCTATTAGCACACAAACAGGCTC